GCGTGCCTGTAGTCCCAGCTACCAGCTACTTGGGAGGTTGAGACAGGAGAATCGCTTGAACCCGGGAGACAGAGGTTGCAGTGAGCCGAGATTGCGCCACTGCACTCCAGTCTTGGCGATAGAACTAGACTTTGTCTCAAACAAAAAACAAAGAACAACTCTCTTCATTTTCATGTAATCCTATTTATTTCCTCAAGAAGGGTAGATCTTTTAAGACTTTGTTCTTTGCAGTTACAAACATACAATAAAAAATTTAGTGGCTTTAGTTTCACACAAATGAAATCAACCCGTATGAATTTTAACTTGCTTTTTTTACTTTATTATCTTAGAAAATTTTCTGTCTGTATATATGAAGCTTTCTTTTTAACTTGGTCTAAAGTAGTGGTCTTAACTTTTGGTCATATACTCAGAATTCTGAGAAATTCTCTTTGTACATTAAGTTTACGTCTAAAATTTTGTAGCAAAAGTTTAGTCGTAAAACATGTAATTTTGAGAATGTTTTACTTTTGCCACATAAAAATAAGTTACCTCATTCTGCTAAATGTATCCAAATGCTTCTAAATATAGAGCATTTTGATTTCCATCATCTAGTTTAAAAATATACGAACAAGCTGTTCTTTATCATTGGAAATTTAAATTCTTCTTTTGAGTCCTTGAATTCTTATTTCCATAACATGTCTCAGACTTTTATCCTAATGTAATACATTTTTGTGCTTGACATTTTTTTCTTGATTGTTTTACCATGTTTCTGCTACTAAATATGTATGTAAACTTAAATTTTAATTTTTAAAGTTCCTGTAACAATAAGGTTCTGTATTTTAACTTGGTCCAGAGGAAATTTATCAGTCGATCACATGTATTATGTATTTTTTAAATCTCCCTTCATTTTCACTTACTCCTATTTGTTTCCTCAAAAAGAGTAGAGACAGGGCTTCACTATGTTGACCAGGCTGGTCTTGAATTCCTGGCCTCAAGTGATCCGCTCGCCTTGGCTTCCCAAATTGCTGGGATTACAGGCATGAGCCACTGTGCCTGGCCCACATACGTTGTAATTTTTGATGTTATTACTATAAAAGTTGAATTTTATTGGAAATATTTTTCTTATGAGATGATGGGATCTGTTATTTTTCTCAGTTAGATCATGGGTCTGTGGATGAATATTTCTTTCTCCGATGAAATAGGATTGAGAAATTTTTCCTGTTTTTGTAGCTATCATAGTGAAGAAACCCTAATCACATAGGTAAATATATGGGAATGAAGTTTTTTTTCTTTGGAGAAGGAGTCTTGCTCTGTCGCCCAAGCTGGAGTGCAGTGGCGCAATCTCAGCTCACTGCAACCTCTGCCTCCCAGATTCAAGCAATTCTTGTGCTTCAGCCTCTGGAGTAGTTGTGATTCATACGCCACTATGCCGGCTAATTTTTTGTATTTTAGTAGATATGGGATTTCACCAGGTTGGCCAGGCAGGTCTCGAACTCCTGACCTCAAGTGATCCACCTGCCTCGGCCTCCCAAAGTGCTGGGATTACAGGCTTGAGCCACTGCACCGGCCAGGTTCTTTATTTTTTTTTTTTTAATTTTTTTATTAAGAGATAAATACTATAGGCGTGTGCCACCACACCCAGCTAATTTTTATTTTATTTTATTTTATTTTTTTTAGAGTTGGGGGTCACACAGTGTTGCCTAGGCTGGTCTCAAATTCCTGGACTCAAGACACCCCTCTGCCTTAGCTTCCCTAATAGATGGGACTACGGACACACCCTAGGGTGTCCTGGCCTTTATCTGTATTTAGCTATTAGATGCCTGTTATCTTCCTGTATCAGTTACACGAAGTGCTCTCATTTCTTTTATTACTGTATACTATTTTACAATATTATAATGAATCTGTTGGTGGACATTTGCTGTTTTTAAGCAATGCCATAATAAACATTCTGTTTATATTCACTTTTTTATACTTTTATGTCTCTTTGTGAACTAAAGACCTAAAACGGATTGTTGAGTTGAGTATTGCAGAATTTGATAGGCTGCCAATTTGTCTCATAAAAAGGTTGTTCCTGTTTACATTCCCCCAGATGATGTAATGAAATTACCCTTGTCAACACTGGTTATCAAATTTTAAAAGGTTTTATCACTTTAGTAGCTGCTCTTATACCAGTCGCAGGATATCAATTTTTGTAATTTCCATTTTCTTATAATACACATTTTTTAAATGAAGCAAGTTTTAAAAAACATGCATTCTTTCTTGAGCGAGGAAGAATAAACCTTATAAACTTATTGTGTGAATGTGAAAGGGAATTTACTTATGCTAAATGTGAGATGGAGCATATTTATGGCATCTCTCTGGATAAGTAAAATGCAGTTTGTGAAGACTTAGCAGGGTATATGTTACATAGTGGGTATTTAACAGAATTCCATTGTCTTTCCTTCCTCTATTTCCTTCTTTTATTTAAGTTATATTCTGGTTTTGGACTGTCTTGTTCTTTTAGATTGTTCTCTTTGGCCATTCCTCTTAAGTAACAGAATGAATGATCTTTTCAATGAGAAGCTTGTGTGAAAGATTTCTGCCTTGTATTTATGAGGACTAAGGGGTTGGACAGCATGTTTGTTGTCTTCCAAAGTAAAATCTTGCATTTTTTATTTTAGCAGCATATATTGTAGATATTTACTTATTGTCTTAGGAATAATATCTCTAAATTCTTGGGTCAGCAAGGTGACTGCAGAGCTAGGCTGGTTGCTAAAATGTTAGATATAGTCAGAGACTTTAAGAAAAAGTTGTACATCCCCAAATTGATCTATATAGTCTTATATGCAATTGCATGTAAGATCCCATCAAGAATTTTAGTATAAATCAAAAACTGATTCTAAAATTTATATGGAAAAGCAAAGAAACAAAACAAAGCCAGGCGCAGTGACTCATGCCTATAATACTAATACTTTGGGAGGCCAAGGTGGGAGGTTTGCTTGAGGTCAGGAGTTTGAGACCAATCTGGGAAACATAGGGAGACCCCGTTTTTCCAAAAAATAATAATAATGAAAAATTAGGCAGGCGTGGTAGCATGCACCTTTGGGCCCAGCTACTTGGGAGGCTGAGGTGGGAGGATCGCTTGAGCCTGAGAGGTCGAGGCTTCAGTGAGCCTCGATCGCACTACTGCACTCCAGCCTGAGTGACAGAATGAGACCCTGTCTCAAAAACAAAACAAAACAAAACAAACAAAAACATTTTTGGAAAAGACCCAAGTTGGAGGGCTCATATTACCTTATTTTTAAGACTTATGGCTGGGCATGGTGTCTCATGCCTGTAATCTCAGCACTTTGGGAGGCTGAGGCAGGCGGATCACCTGAGGTCAAGAGTTCGAGACCACCTGGCCAACATAGTGAAACCCCGTCTCTACAAAAAATACAAAAAAAATTAGCTGGACGTAGTGGCACATGCCTGTAATCTCAGCTACTTGGGGAGGCTGAGGCAGGAGAATCTCTTGAACCCAGGAGGTGGAGGTTGCAGTGCGCCAAGATTGCGCCACTGCACTCCAGGCTGGGCGACAGAGAGAGACTGCCTCTCAAGACAAATACAGTAATCAAGACAGGATGGTATTGGCAAAATGGATAGACTTATAAATTGATGGAACAGAACAGCCCAGAAATAAACCCAAATGTAATATGGTCAGTTGATTTTTTTTACAAAGGTGCAAAGGCAATTTGATAGAATACAGATGACTTTTTCAACAAATGATTCTATAATAATTAGGTGTCAATGTACAGGAATAGAAACTTAGACCCACATCATTATACCATATACAAAATTTCACTCCAAATGTACCATAGGCCTCAATGTGAAATGTAAATATGAAAACTATGAGACTTCTAGAGGAAAATGTGGGGAAAAAAATCCTGTGAGGTACTTCATGAAAATTAAAAACTTTTGCTATTTTAAAGACACAGTTAAGTAAATGAAAATACAGTGTAAGTTAAATACAGGGAAGAAATTTTTACAAAATTTATCTGATAAAGGACTGATATTTGGAATACATAAAGAATTTTCAAAATTCAATAGTAGGAAAATAAACAGTTCAATTTTAAAGTAGTCAAAAATTTTGACCATTCAAGTCACCAAAGAAGACAAAGGGATGGCGGAGAAACACATGAAAAGATGCTCAACATCCTTAGTCATTAGGGAATGAGATACAACTAATTTCCTTTAAAAAAAAAAAGGAGTCCTCTGCTTCCAGAAGTACATCTGGTTACCTCCAGCTGATGCAGTCCTCATCCAGAAGCAATGATGGTACCCTGGATTTCCTGTGTGGGAATTAATAAGTAATTAATAAATGGCCTCAGCCGGGCATAGTGGCTCACACCTGTAATCCCAGCAGTTTGGGAGGCCAAAGCAGTGAATAACCTGAGGTCAGGAGTTTGAGCCCAGCCTGGCCAACATGGTGAAACCCCATTTCTACTAAAAATACAAAAATTAGCTGGGCATGGTGGCAGGTGCCTGCAATCCCAGCTACTCGGGAGGCTGAGGCAGGAGAATCGCTTGAACCCAGAAGGCGGAGGTTGCAGTGAGCCGAGATCGCACTACGGCACTCCAGCCTGGGTGACGAGCAAAACCCCATCTCAAAAATAATAATAAAACAAATGCCCTCCATTCTTGGAGCGTTTGATTTGGATTTGAATTGCTGATACTAAACTTGTGTTGCTCCATGATGGTTTTACTGAATTTAATGGTAATCTTTGACAATTTGCAGAATGAAGAAGATTTAGACTTGCTATTATGAAGGACTCTCCTGTGGAACTGGTACTTAGAAGAGCTTGGGTGCCCTAGGAATTAATGATTCTGCTCTGTTCTGTTTCTGGGTTTCCTTTTATTAAATCTTTAAATTTTGAATAGTTTTTAATTGCTTTAACCTAATGCTACAAAGAGTGAGAAAAACTCTAGTAATAAGACAGTAGTTGACTCTGTTTTTCATTTTTCTGTCTGTCACAATGGGTAATTATTTGTCATTGTTGCAGATACTCCATCTTCTAAACCAACACTGCTAGCCAATGGTGGTCATGGAATAGAAGGGAGCGATACTACAGGTAAGTGATTCCCAGGATTCTCCAAATGTGTAGGTGATGCACTTACAATGAACACCTTGATAATCTCCTTTGAAGAGCATTATTAATGGAAGCATATGAATTATTTCTGAGGGTGGTAGTGTTCTTGTTGGATGCGTTTAAACCCAGGACATTGCCATGTAAAATCTCCAACAATGGAAGGAGAATAATGAGTTTCCTTTGATATTTTTTGAATATTTTTTGGAGCTGTACCACACAAAACTGGATCAACCTTAAAATACTTTTGTAGATGCAGAATAATAATCACCAAAATATGTTACATGGGAGGAATTTGGCCACTACAACTCTTTAAAACAGCAGATCTCTTCCCTGAATCACATTACATTTAGCTTTCTACAGTTCAGTGTTAGGAAGCCAATGAGCAACAAATTAGGAGTTACTAATTTTGCCCCCAGTGTGTTTCCTTTATCTTTCCCTTAACTGTTGCTTTTGAAATTTACTTCTAACTAAACTCTTAGCTCTTTACTAGGGTTTTGATATTTTTTCAGTTAGCACTGAGTTCCTGTGGGTTCCTGTCTCATAACCAGCACGAACCCCCTGCCCCAAAGTCTTTGTAGTGAGCAAAATTCTCAAAGCAGTAGCAGGAGTCCCAGGGATATACGATATAAGTATTTTCTTAAGTAGCTGACGTGAGAGTTGCCTGTTTTATTTTCATAAATACCTGCATTTACTTTGCAGTTGTGATCAGGCCAACACTGCTAACCCAAATGAGTTGACTTCTAATGATCAATCCCATTGTTTCCTACAAGTGTCCTCTTAACTGGGCCATACATTTGATTCATATTATTGCATTGGAGGTAGTTACTAGATTTGTCGTATTTCTGTATTTCTCTTATATGCATACCTCAGCTATGAGAAGCCCTTCTGTGAGCCACCACAGGATTTCTATAAGGCTTCCAGAAAGCCTTCTGTTAGCAATAGCAGCTATTCTAGGATGTGACCATAGGAAAGTTGATTTTTTGATGACCAAGTTCTTTTTGTTGTGAATGTTTACCAAGTGACATTTACATCCTTATTAGCAACTTAATAAATTAGGAATTCTTTACTATAGAAGCTAGAAACAACCAGAAATGCCACTTTATCTTCCAGTTTTGTGAATTGATGTTTTTGTATTTCTTTGATAATCTCAGTCAAATGTAGTATTGACTTTCTGTGTCTGCTTTGAAAGCAGTCATCTATGTGATGTGGTTTTTAAGAAAACATTTATGCAAATATCCCCATGATTAAAGGAGAAGTCTGAACATGAACTTTTAAAAAATGAGTAAATTCAGCTTTCTTTAACCAGGAAACAGTTAACCAGGGTAAGGAAAGGCTGGAGGGGATTGATTTGATTAGGCAGTTGAAAGACTGGACGCCATTTTCATCCAGGAAGGAAACAACTACAAAAACAAGAGTAGATTTCTTCTCCAGTAGGAAGTCACGTCTGACCAAAAGAGACTCATACTCTGTGTAGCAGGTGCTTACCACTGCCAGGTCTTAGTAGTACAGAATAGAAGAGTAAAAACTGTATCCTGGCCCTCACTGTTTCAGGATTCCCTTGTGACAAAAAAGAACCTGGCTCTTTATGAACTGCCCATGACATTATGAGAGTAGGTCATTCTGTTCTTGGATAACTCTCTGCCCTTAGGTAGCATATAGTTTGCACACCTGGGTTGTTTGAGTTCTGAATTTAACCACTTAACTGTATTAAAATAAATACTTGAGGCCGGGCACAGTGGCTCATGCCTGTAATCCCAGCACTTTGGGAGGCCGAGGCGGGTGGATCACCTGAGGTTGGGAGTTCAAGACCAGCCTGACCAACATGGAGAAACCCCGTCTCTACTAAAAATACAAAATTAGCCGGGCGTTGTGGCGCATGCCTGTAATCCCAGCTACTCGGAAGGCTGAGGCAGGAGAATCACTGAACCCAGGAGGCGGAGGTTGCAGTGAGCCGAGATCGCGCCATTGCACTCCAGCCTGGACAACAAGAGCGAAACTCTGTCTCAAAATAAAATAATTTAAAAATTAAAAAAAATAAAAATAAATAAATAAAATAGATACTTGGCCGGGCGTGATGGCTCACACCTGTAATCCCAGCACTTTTGGGAGACCGAGGCGAGTGGATCACCTGAGGTTGGAAGTTTGAGACCAGCCCGGCCAATATGGTGAAACCCCATCTCTACTAAAAATACAAAAATTAGCTGGACGTGGTGGCACGTGCCTGTAGTCCCAGCTACTTGGGAGGCTGAGGCAGAAGAATGGCTTGAACCTGGGAGGCAGAGGTTGCAGTGAGCCGAGATCGTACCACTGTACTCCAGCCTGGTCAACAGAGCAAGACTCCGTCTCAAAAAAAAAAAAGATACTTTACTGAAAATATGCATGTTTTATTGGGGGAGGGAAGGTGGAGGGAGGGGATGACAGTGCATGTTTTTGGAGCATGTGGTAACTTCATTCTAATTTGGCCATCACTACCTGGAACATCTAACTCAATGCCATTTTGAAAATTCCCATTTCTGTTTCCTTCAGAATATAATCTATAGTCCCGAGAGCAAACCAGCTTCATTAATAGCTTGGGTTTATGAGCATCTTGTGATATTGAACTTGCTGTTTACTAATGACCTGTGCTTTTCCACCCTTTCCTTCCCCTTCCTACTTCTTCCTCCCTCTCTATTTTTCTCCTCCTAGAAGCCTAGCGTGTCTCTCAACACTGGGGCTACTGCAACACCAGACCAGTGATCTTTCCTAAGCACCGTTATACTTCTAAAACCTTCAGCATTTTGCAGAGCTTTGCTTTTCCTTCCTGGACACGATGTAGAAGAAACTGAGGGTAGTTCTTCGGGGCCTATTTCTGCTGATGCCTGAGCAAACAACCTGCTTCCTCTTGTGCTCTGCAGGGTTTGATGGAGCCTCATTTCCCTTTGTGAACACAAAGTGCAGAATGAATTCTTTTTAATTTTAGTAATTTTTACAAAGGTTATCTGATGTCTTTTATTTTTTGTTTTCTTCATGATTTTATCATTTGATTCATTCTCACATTTTTTTCCTTTAAATATTTTTAGTTGACCTTTTTCCTTTGGTTTTCAAATCTTCAACATAAATCAGAATAGTGTAACACCAAATGAGAACATGTGTTTTCATAAAGGGGTTGAGGCCACCAGTACTGCAGTGAATTTCCTTTTCTCCTCCCTCCTCTTTTCCTCTGAGCTTGCTTTTAGGGAAGGTTAATCTTATAGGCTACCTGTCTTTCTCTCCACCTTACTAAAATCTGAGTAATGATAGATATTTTAATTTTAAGTTTTTAAATTTAGGATTACTCAGAGCTACTCTTGAGTATTTTTCCAAATTAAATCATCCTTTATTATTTGCAAGTTGGACCAAATTTTTTTTTTTTTTTTTGGAGATGGACTCTATCTAAGGATTGTTTCAAAAGGACTTTCTTATTCTCATTCCTAATTTTTTCTTATTCCCATTCCTAATTTTTTCAAACTAATTGCTTAAATCTAGAACCAGTCGAGATTAGTACTGTACAATGGTAAGCTTTGATTGTATTTATAGAAATATAACATAAAATATGGACCATGTTTTGAAATCTTAGAGGAATTCTAGTTCAAGATCTGAAATACTTTAAAGTTTTCTATCGTCTTACTGATTATGAAGGTTCTTATAACCCCCAAGGTAAAAATTATTTCAGCTTAAAAGAAATAATTGGCACCATGTTCTGAGAAAGATTTTGAGATATACATTGTTTTTTGTTTTTGAGATAGGGTCTCACTCTGTCGCCTAGGCTGGAGTGTGGTGGCGTGATCTTGGCTTACTGCAACCTCTGCCTCCCAGATTCCAGTGGTTCTCCTGCCTCAGCCTCCCAAGTAGCTGGGATTACAGGCGTGTGCCACCATACCGGCTAATTTTTGTATTTTTAGTGTTGCGATGCTGGTCTCGAACTCCTGATCCCAAGTGATCCACCTGCCTTGGCCACCCAAAGTGCTGGAATTACAGGTGTGAGACACTGTGCCTGGCCAGATGTACATTGTTTTAGATCCCCTGATACAAAACTACTTTTGAGATGGTAAGATTAGAATATCATGAAAGTTTAAACTGAATCCCTGCAGCGACTTCTGGAATTTAGGAAGCATTCCCTCTTCTACAGCGATCTGGTCACAGGGCTGGATTCTCTGACAAAAATTTATTCTGTGGATTCTGGACAGAAGACACGTGAGGGTGATATGTTTTAAAGGAAAGAGGTTATGCTTATCTTCTTTGCAGTTGATAAAATATTAAAACTGTCTTGCCATAGAGAATATACCATCAAATAAAACAACCCTTTCCCTTTGGTGTACAGTTACTTATTAAGTTGATTTTTGGGTTTCTTTCGCCAGGGAACTTTTCAAAACTGGTAGTAATTATTTTTAAAAATCATATTTGACATCTTTCTATTGCTCGGAACCAGTCCCTGTAGCTGTCTAAGTTATGGGTGGAGAAGTCTGGGTATGACCCCGTTGTGTACACTCACACTTCATGATTGACATTGATTTACTCTTTTATTTCCATTTGGTTATGCTTATTTTTGTTTGAAATTTGTTTTTTTCAAATATGTTTCCTTTTTGAACTTACAGAATTGTTGAAATTTTCTAATAGCCAGCTAAAATTTGGTATATATTAGCTCTGTTCGTTTCACTTGGACGTTTCATTTTGAAAGAAAGAATTTTTATGTTTCACATATAGTTTCATACAGAGTAGCCAGTCCCATAATGAAATGCTGTATTGCCATAGTGGTCACACCCAAGTGGTCCAGTATCTCAATGGCGAGGCAGCCGGATTGGTCAGGGCTGCTTTGTTGAAATGTGATGATTTTCATATGACTTCTTTCTCTTTCTCTCTCTCTTTTTTTTTTCCCTTTTTTGGCCCAATGTTGAAGATATAGAACTTTGTTTTTAAATGTTTTTATAACTTCATTCGTATACCTAAGTTTGTATTTTTTGTGA